GGACATCTGTAATACTTTCAACAATAAAGGTAATTTTTTTTTTTTTNGGGACATCTGTAATACTTTCAACAATAAAGGTAATTTTTTTTTTAAAAAAAAAAGAGTTAACTCCACAAATGTGGGTGGTCCAAAACCTACACATTCCAAAGAAGGATCTGGTCCTTGCTTGCCCCTGGGAGGTAACCTTTAAGCCTCTGGAATATCCTGCCTGATAGGAGTATCTGTTTATGTGGTTAGTTTATACTAACAATGTCATTTGCTAGGGGAAGGACTTGAGTCAGCTTGACCTCTGAAGGGGACTGAGACAGAAAGTCTGCCTTGTGGGTGGTCAGCCATGCCTACATGACCAAAATCCAGTAAAAACCCTAGATACCAATGATGGGGTTAGCTTCTCTGGTTGGCAATGCTCTGTGCATGTTTTCACACATTGTTGTTAAGAGAGTTAAGCACTGTCTGTACAACTCCAACGAGAAAGGACAAGCAGAAGTTTGTGCCAGGTATCTCCAGGACCCTGTCCTATGCCTTTTTCCTTTGCTGATTTTAATCTATATGCAAGTTCTTGAGTAAATCATGGAACCTCAGGGTGATCTTAGGGACATTCTTCTTCAACACCATAATCCAACCACAATTAATATGTTAGTAACAAATTATGGCTCAAAATCAAAGGAAAATTTCTTTCTTCAACAAACTGCTGCTCATAAAGATCATATAAAATATGTAAAATGTAGTGAGTGCATATATGCATGCACTCAATGAACCCTGTCAAATTCATGAATATTTTTATTAATAAAGTTTTAGTCTTCATCACAGTAAATTAATGAAGATCTCATTCATATTTCATAAATATAAAAACACTTAATACCAATTAAAACATTCCATTCTTGAAATTTTTGGCTCCAAGAAAAATAATCACTCCCCTGACCTATTGTTTAAAAAGAAAAATAATTTTGAAAGGGAAACATAAAACGTTGGTGTAAATCATTTATTTCTCCTCTCTTGCTATGATTCTAACTTATATTTTTAATATAGTTTCATATAAGATTTTTTAAATTGGTAATTTCCAAATGGAAAAATTCAAAACATTTTTGCTGGAATTGTTTAAGATTCCTTTGTAATAATAAAAGAAGAATTTTTATTCTCTTCAATTACTCAAATTCTCACCCCTTGGCGGCCCATTTTGATTTTCCCATATTGATTCTCCCAGCTATATGTGGTGTTGCTCTGGGAATTTCTAGAAATCAAATTCAAGGCAACAAATATAAGTACACTCATCCCAAATCAATTTAGAAACATTTCATGTGTAATTATAAAGGTATTCTTGAATTGACAAGTTTAAATGAAATTATTCTGCCAATTTAAAATTGTAGATTGCAGAATTATATGATCCACTTTCTGTCTACAGAGGGAACTATAGGGAAAGAAGCTATAACAAAAAAAGGAAGGGAGAGAGGCAGGGAGGGAGGCAGAGAGGGAGGAAGGAAGGAAGGAAATAAAAAGAGAAAGAAAAGAAATCCAAAAGTAAAAAACAATAAGAACTTAACAGTTTTACTTCAGTAGTTGACTCTTAATTGTATCTCTAATTAAAAGAGCTCTATATTTTTTCCCATTTTCTGATTAATGCCATAAGCACTTACCTTTATTCTCTTCAAAAATAGATGATAGATAAGATTGTTTTTCATTATTCAGTACTAGCAATTTTCTAAGACAAAAGAGCTCAATTGATGTGTTTGTGTGTGTGCATACACAGGATTCACAGATACAATGATCGAACATCTGTGAAAACTTTCCCTACTTGAGAAGCTATGTATATATGCACATTTTCCTTTCTTGTCTTCCATTTTTAATTCTGTTTTTAAATTAAATGTATTGGGGTGACACTGGTTACTAAGATTATATTGGTTTCAAGTGTACATTTTTGATACATGATCTATAAATTGCAATGTGTGCCCACCACCCAAGGTCAAGGTCAAATCATCTTCTGTCACCATGTATTCCATCCACTCCCTTTGCATTTTACCTTCCCTGGTGGCCTAGGGCTAGGATTTGGTGCTTTCACTGACATTTTTCTGTCATTGTGCTTTCTGTCTCACACTAAATTTATATAGATGAACTCCCTCCTGTTTATTTGTCCTTTATAACAATACCATTATTCTCACTGCTACTGTCTCCTAATCTCTAGCATCAAGAAAACACGAGTCTCTACTTCCAAGACAAATACCACTTACTAGTAAGGAGAACTTTTAGCAACGAAGTAGCTCAGCATATATCACATGTCCTGGTCTTAATCCATCAAGCATTACACATACCTTTGGCACATCTCTATTGATTTTGGGTACAGTTCTATAAAAGTCAAATAAAATAATATTTTACTACCATTTTAGCCATTCCAACCTGAGTTCCTGGTCATAAAGCAATGTTTCTACTACATAAAGTTGAAGTGGCCTTTCCTTAAATCATATCATTTAGTTCTTTGTTTAAGTAGTTGTAGGTTCTTGACCAAGCCTTTACATGTTAGTAAAGTAACATGTATTGTGGCTGGTTCCTTTAATTCGTGTTTTTCCTACACTTAAAAACAACTAGTGAATAAAGTAATTTTACATATCTATTTTTAAAAAGTAAAATAACTTTTTAAAGTGAACCTTCTACTATTCAGTGTACTTGACAAAATCATTTAATATCTGTTGCATAAAAATGTAGTTAGATTGCTCGTATGTCAAGCTGTTAATGCATGGCTAAAAGGTGAAAATTATAATTATTCAGAAACTTGCATTTAATTTATAAGAATTATATTGATAATTAATTTGCATTTATTGTCTTAAAATTTTTTAATGATAACTTTTTTCTTGCCTTTAAAGATTATTCTAAACATTTTTCATTCTAATGATGCACATGGTTTTTCCTGCTATGGTTAAACTAAAATATCTTTAAATTATAAAAATTGTATTGAAATTCAGATTCTAAATCCCACCACACATGGGCTGCAGTACTGAATGAGGTTATTGCATTGCATATTATCCCAAAGAATGATGACTTTAAGTGTATTTATCTTCTTTTTTGTTTCTTTCTTTTTTGAGCACTCAAAAAAAGATGCAGCCTGCATGGGAAAAAAATGAAAGTATATCTCTACACATTTAAATACTGACGTCAAAAATCCATCACTGTTGATAATGTCTTATTACTCGAACTGGGTTATGGGCACACGGGTATATTCAGTTTTTGATAATTCATTGAGTTGTCTAATCATGACTTGTTTATTTTCCTATATTTCATTTGCCTGAATAAAAAGATGATTTTTTAAAAAATCAAACACTGTTATATCCTATATAAGTTGTCTTCTAAGCTTTCTTACACCAATCAAACTTAACTTTACTCAGTTATCTACAGAGTGCAGGCCTATAATAGAAATGAAGTGAGCCGGATGTCCGACAGGAGAGTGCCGCGGCCTGTGATGAGCTGGGCAAGATGGGCCCGGTCTACAGGGTGCAGACGCTACTCAGCTCCGAGGAATGGTTGCCGCATGGGTCTGTGGGTCTCGTGTTGCCAGGTCTGGAAATTTGAATTTTTATGTCAAATTTATATTTTTAATGCTGGCAACTGATTCGATTTTATAAACACTGCCAGCCAAACTAAATACGTCTTTGACCAAATAAGCCTCCATAATGATCACCTCCCTGAGAAGTACCTCACTAAATTCGAGTCCAATTAAAATACGTTTCATTTGTACTGCTGACACTGTGACCACGTAGAAAAGCCTACAGACGACGCTCAGTCTGATTCCCAGACACGCTATTTCTACTATACTATACTGCCTGTAAATATGTGCATAGATCTTATGTCATTTGAATCCCAAACCAAACCTCATAACACAGGTATTATCCCCATTTTACTGATGAGTGATCTAGCGCCGAAAAGTACAAACAGATACCAAAGAAATTCAGAATAATATGACCGTGTTAGATGACAAGTTCAAATTCTTTCTCCAACACTTGCTGTTTTTATAACTTTGAGAAGGTAAATTCACTTCCTTTTACTTCACTTTTTGCCCCTGTAAGACGGGTACTCTAATGCACTCTCTCACCGGAATCTTGTAAAGATACACAAAGCATGCAGAAATGTGCCTGCCACATAGCATAAGCGTTGCTATTACTAATTATTTATTCCTATTATTAATATTATCTGTAAAATGAGATCCTTGTTTTTTATAAGTTTTAAATGAACTAATCGATGTAAAGTGCTTAGATTGTGCCTGGGTCATAGTTAATATTTCTTACATGTTAATTGTGTGTCCAGTTTAATTCTCTTTCAAATACATTATTACCCCTAAACCATGCAGATTAATTCCATTACTCTGTGTCGGGTAATAACAAATATTGGTACTATTATAGACTAAAAGTATTTAAACTTGTACAAAGTGTTCCCTTTAGATGTTTAAATATACATAGCTTTGTAGTGTCATGATTATTACAATGTTTATTTCATTTGAAAATGTGCAGTGAAATCAATCATATGCCACGTAATTACTGTCCTGAGGAGAATTTTAATAATGCAATAAAGTGTTATTCAGTCCATCAGGAATGTTTACAAAATTCAGAAAACACCTTTTCAATTTAGAAGGTCTTCCCCACCTCTTCTTGTTTCCCTAATTTTTAAAAAACTTGACCCCAAAGGAAAAAACCAAAGTATATGCTCCCTGGCTGGATTGCTCAGTTGGCTGGAGTGTTGTCCCACACACCAAAAGGTTGGGTGTTCGATTCTCCCGTGAAGGCACATGCCCAGGTTGCAGGTTAGATCCCAATGGGGGCACGTAGGGGAAGAAACAGATTGATGTATCTCTCTCACATCAATGTTTCTCTCTCTTCCCTCTCTCTCTAAACTCAATAAAAACATATCCTCAAGTGAAGATTTGAAAAACAACAACGAAATATATATACAAGTAACTCAGTAACTCAAATTGCGAAGTTATGTGCTAATTTGCTAGCATAGCCAGAATTTTTACTTACTTGTGACCCATTTCATGAGCAATTGTAAATGCAAGATTCAGGCCATTGTCTTCAGCAATAATACATTTTCTCTTTTCACTACACATACCACTCAAGTATGCTATACCTAGAAAACACAAACATTAATTATGTATGTCAAAATTAAAATGCAAATACTTATGCTCACTACTAATAGAAGAAGGAAAAAGTGAAGAAACAAAATGTCAATGCTAAAATATGACATCTAGCCTTTATAAATGGAATTTTAGGGGGAAATGCATATGTATAAGTCACTCATAAATTGTTAATAGTCTTTTGAAATTCATATTTTAAATGAAATTATTTTATCAATTATCCAATTCTCAAAGGGCATACAGTAAGAATACATTTTATAATTACCACTTTTCATTGTAATTTAGGATAAATGAAGAGTAAATAAAAAAGAAATGATTATGTTAAATGTGTTTTAATCCTTATGAAGAATCTAACCTCAAAGAAATAGCTTAAAATAAAATAAACTGCATATAGGACATTCTTGTACTTACATTTATATTTTGAATTAATAAATTTTGAAATTTAATGTTGTAAAATACCATTTTAAGTAATATGACATAAAAATGATCTGTGATATTTGCAAAATTGAAAATGTTTCCTTTAAAAATGTCTTGGCTAGTAAGAAGGCCTGACCTCAGAGTATATAATACTGAAGTGTTACTTAAGATAAAACTTCTGGCAAGATATTTGATCTTTTGGTTTAAATAATCAGTAAAGATGATAATATCTGAAATCACTGATTACTCTTTAGCCAAAGATTTACGTACTATTTTACCAACTCAGGTATACCTCTGAATTAATATAATTTAACACAAGGGATTGAAATCTTCTAAGTGCAAGTTTTAATGCATTTTCAAATAATAACAGTTATTCAAATAATACCTAGTATTGGTTGAATTCATTGTATATTCTCTAATTGTCATATCCTTATAAAATACATTTAATCTTATTTTATGAAAATATTAAGGCCTGAACAGGCAAAATGACTTCCCAAAAATCACATGACTACTAAATACGATAGAATAGGAGTTTGAACCCAACTTGGAATCCTTCTACCAGCCAACGTGTATTTTGCTTTTGATAACAATTTAGTGCAGAGTTGCCCCTAGCTAAAGGTGGTTAGCTGACTGCTTGTGAGTTTTCTCCTCTCTCCAGAAACTTAAAATGTGATGGTAAAGAATAATTAAATTTAAATAAAAGGATAAATCACCTTGCCCATATTTAGGAAAAATAGAAAACTCACAGAAGAATATGAAGTGAATTAGTGGAGCCACAGTCAAATGACAGGGAGAAGCATTTTATGAGTGAGGCAGAACTCCAGAGAGGCTCAAGAACTGAGGCACACAAGGTTGGAGGAGAGGCATTGCTGGAGGGCTGAAAATGGAGATTAGATGAAAGTATATTTGAAATCACCTAATACTCATTCAAACCTTCATACAGAATGTCAAGGCCTGGTATTCACTGGCCTATCGGGGAAATGAGATATATTCCTTAAGCAAAATATAGTATAAGCATATTATTTTAAAAATATAACAGGCACTGCTAAGAGACAAAATATACATATAGATGTTATTTTCTCTATATATTTAGAAATCAAAATAGATTTTATAGAAATTTTAAATCTACAAATGGATTAAATGGCTTCTTTATGAATGGATAGGTGGATGAGTGGGTAATGGATGAGTGGACAGATGATAAGCCCTACTATTTCATTTTGCTTATTAAGGGAATTGAAAGTACTCCAGAGTTAAATCAGATAAAGCAGGAAGGAAAGATGGATATAGTGATAAATGTGGTAGGGGGTGGGGAGGGGAGGAAAGGAAGTGGCGAAAACATTCTTTACCTAGTTCCATTAAACAACAAACTTTAAAAATTCTTAAACATAATGTGAATTTTAAGATAGCTAAGTCATGCATTTATAAGTACAACAAAAAATGGAAAATAAAGATTTGGGAGTTAATTAAACTTGTGTCATAAGTAAAGAAAAGAAAGAAGAGAGGGAGAGAAGGAAGGTAAAAGAAAAGTAGCTCCTATCAATAGAGTGTTAAAATTCTCCTGAGCTTTTAAACTTTTTTATAGAGATATAATTTGAGATTAAAAGTCCCACAAAAATACTAAATTAAGCTCAACTGTAATTAGCATGCCAATAACTACTGTGTGGTACAAGATTTCCCTTAGGATGCTCATATATTTCACCACTTTTTTCACCACAACTAAATCTCATAGCCATATGCAATACACACACACACTATATATTTTTCTGTAATTTTACTACACTGGCTAAGATTTCCAACAAACAGGTGAAATATGTGTGTGATACTGAGCTCCTTGTTTTTCCTGCTGACTTTAACAGAAATGTTTCCAGTTCCACGATAGAATGTGATTGCTGTAGGACTTCCATAGATATAGCTTAAGAAAATTACTTTCTGAATTCTTGTATGTCTCAGTGAAAAAGAGGGAATGTTATTTGATGCATGGGTCAAAGGTGGATAGGAGTTGAATAGTATTTTTTGGAAAAGAAAAAAAATATTAGGATAACAACTGAGAGAAAGGGAAAGACAGCTGATTAAATATTAGTGGAAAACTTGATGTAAATTGATCAGAAAACAGATGGTTCAGATGGTGGTTGAGAGCACAAGCCCGGAATAGCACTAATATACCCAGTGTGAGTGTCCAACCTACTGGCTAAAACAGAGAAGGGTAATATTTGGATTGAATTTGGGTTGAGATTTTGTAGATCAGATATAAAGGAAGAATCAAAGGATATAAGAGTTGTTAGTAAAACTGAAAGGGAAAGAAGGAATAGAACTTTTGTAGGCTCTGTGCTAGATAAGTTAAGAAGTACAGTCAAATGGAGCCTGACGACTTGAAGAGTGGAATCCAGTTGTTAGGAGGATGGGGACATCAACGAACACTGAAAAAGAACAGACACTTTCCAAAAAAGTACTGGAAACTGTAATAAAAGGGTGGGGCTTACCGAGACTGAGATTTCAGAGGTGAAGTTTCATGACATAATTAGGTATTGCCATGAGAGTAAAGAAGGGCAGAAGTAGAGGTCATCAATATTGAGGTCACAGAATGATTACGCAGTGCTGGGTGGGCTGATTACACCAACATGACCACAGTGAACTTGAGAAGGTGGGAAAGGTGGCTAGCATCCGTAGGACACATGGGCGAGAATCAATTAGTTCATCAATCGCAGTGACAGGGAGGGACACGATTGTAAAACTCAAGAGCGTCTGCTTCACATGAAGAGTTTTTATATGAGAACAGGAGAGATTTTGATCTATAACCAGCAGCAGGAAGTGAGAGGAATGCAACAGACATACAGCTTTGGTATCTGCCTGGCACCAGCCTATGGCAAAGGGCAAGAGAAACAATGAACAGTGACCTCTCTGGGGTCCTAAATCTAGGTAATGGGAAATCAGTGACTATAGTGTCGTCATGTAAAATACTATGGTGATAAAGATTACAATTTACTATGTAAGATATATATTTATACTACAAAATAATAAATATATATAAAATATAATTCGAAAGTGATGAGTACATGTTGACATAGAGGTATGATTATGACCAAGTATTAAAAACTATAATGGCATTTTAATAGGAGAACAGAAAGATTACATAAACATGCTAATTAGCTAATAGCAATTATATTATGTGGAGAGATTATAGGTAACTTTTCCTCCTCTTTTCCCATTTTCCAAATTCATGTAAATATTTATTATAGTTCTTAACAACAAAATTAAAGGCATAAATGTGATGCTACGTCTATGAAATTTGAATAGCAATTAATAAAATCTCTCAGAGATCAGGGTGTAATTTAACAACCCAAATGACCTTCTATTATTATTATTCTTTTGTGTGACTGTTAAGTCTGAATCTTTCACCAAGGCTCTGATAAATTTAAGTTCACTCTTCTTACAGTTGGCATACCAAGGTTTTCTTTGACTTGAAAGTCACTGAGAATGAGTGTAACCAGGACTAATTTAAATGACTTGCATTATTCTGTTTAAAAGCCCATGCTTTTCAATCCCTTTCCAAAGCCCACACGTTTCCGATTATGATAAAGGGTAGAGGTTAGAAGGAGAAAGGATTTAATATGTCTGTTACTTAAAGATAGATGTTATACAGACCCTTTTTAAAGCACTCTTTTAATATTAATTTTAAAAACTCTGAAAATACACAGGAAACCAAAATAACCTTTAATTTATCACCTAAAAATTAATCAAGGCATGCACCAGGAGCCAACAGGATCTCTCACTTGGAAACAAGCATACTATCTTAGGACATGCTATGATATGTCTTATCAAGATGATTAAAGACCCTTAAAACCATACAGGATGCATGTCACAACAATGGACTAATTGGGAAATCAGTGTTTGTATGTGAGCAGACGGATGTATCCTTACAAAAGTCAGTCAGTCATCCAGCTCAGAAACTGTTGCTTTTAACCACTAGCTAGGCTACCTAAGTTCAAAATCCTTGCTCTCCTGGAACAAAATCCTGGCACAGTCCTAGGTAAGTTACTTATCTTACGATTGTGCACTATGAGTTACTTACCTATGAGTTCTACTATTCCTTGAGGCCTAATGGAACAAGTAATGTAGTAGGACAAGGCGACAATGAATACATGCTGAGCGTGCCTTCGGAAGCATGAACCACACACTCATTCTACAATGTGATCAACACGTAAAGATGTACATAAGATATTATGGAGAATAAAAGACACATCTCACATGGAAAAATCAAGGCAGAAAAGGCTTTTAGAAAAGGAAATAGCTTGTTGCTATCACTGAGCAGGCAGAGGGTAGCCAGGGAAAGGCAGTGGGAACTGGGGGTTGGGGTGATTCCTGAACAAAAGACTGATGAGGAAAAAGGGTGAGGAGATGCTTATGAGAGCTGATGTCACCCAAAGAGGGGCAGCTTAGGTTCTTTAAAGGTGCAAGCCATGTCATGCATCAACACTGTATTTAGCTTATCCTCAAGAAGGAGTGTGTTAAAGGAATTACATAGGTTAAATTTCCTGAAACAAAGATTAATGTAAAATGTGATTCAATGCAGGGCCTT